CGCCCCGCGCTGCCCCCCCGGGGCCGTCCCCGCCGGGCCGCCGGCGGGCGGTGTTGCAGCCCCGGGTGATGTCGTGAGGCAGTGGCCATGCTGCGCGGGCGTTCAGTGCCTTCCTCCATGTCTGTGCGAGTTCCCTGCTTTGGCCGAGGCCGTCAGCTCCGTACGTGGCCGAGCTGGGGTGACGTGAGGCAGCTGAGCCTCAGCACAGAGCAGGGCTGACGGGACAACCGTTTGGGTCCTCGGCGTCACCAAGGGATGTGGTGGAATCAGGAGGTGTTGAGTGCGGGTCACGGAAGATTTGGCGTTTGGGTGTCTGTTGCTCTGACTAATTCCAAGCACCAAATCAGCCTGCGAAAGAACTCATTAGTTTTCTCTGAGGCATCTAGCTAAAACTAGAAAGTGTGTTTTGAATAGGAGTTTGAGTAGGAAGGAAGGTCTGTGCGAGACCTGCTGCCGTAGTCGGGCAGTGCCCTGGGCACGCTGGAGCCGTGTGCGGCAGTCTGCAGCTGGTGTAGGAGTTCTGGAGAGAAAAGGTCTGTTTGATGAGTAGTCATGGTAGTACGGGGAGACAGTTATGTTGGCTTTGGCAGAGCTAAAGCATTTTGCAGTGTTGTCCTGCAGTAGATACCCTTCTCAGGATTTACACTACACACCTGTACGGGCTGGATGTAATTCCCTGGGATGAGGCTCATGGCATCCTGCAGTGTTAGAATACTTAATTAGACCTCCACTCCCAAAGAAAACATCTCCTCTGAGAACTTTCACGAGATACAAGTAAATAATCCCATACACATGTGAAGCTGCCATATATCCACTTTGTTTATTCCTGCTCACTAGCAACGTGTTACCAACAGCAGAGGCAGCGCGGGGAAGCCGCTCCTGCAGCTGCAGTGACGCAGTGCGGAGCAGCACAGACCCGGCCTCTTCGGAGTCCTGGATGATCCATGCGCACTGTGGGAGCCACCCTCTCACCCTGCGCTGCGGTTGTGTCACAGTCAGACCCACCTAGGGCACAAGAAAACACTGACTGCAGGTTATGCTTGTTTCCGGGTTAGACTGTACTTGCTTCTGTGGGGAGCAAGTAACTGCAAAAGAAGTGGACATGTAGCATGAACTAGTTTAAGGGAGTCACTTGCTGTTGTACAGCTACACTTGTTCCGTGTCCGGTCCTGTTCCCAGACGAAGCTAACGGCATAGAGCATTATCAGTGCTGTGCACTGGGTATCAAGCCCTTTCCCATTCAATAAATAGAACCTCCTTTAAGAGTGATATGGTGGTTTTTATTGACTGAGTTAACTGCAAGTCAGCTGATTTCTCTTTTTCGTTGGCGTAGTGCCCAGCATTTGTACTGGCGTGAATTCAGAGACTTGCCCTTTATTTTTAAACTGCACGCAAATGTTTTGAACATCTCGGTAGAAGTTGTTCTGATTTATGTATCCCAGGGGAATTTACAGTTAAGAACTCCGCTCTTCTAAATGTTAGAAAATATTGCTAATCCTAGAGTAACTATTACCAATATTTTATTAGATTACGAATTTTGATGGTACTCCAATTTAAAAAAAAAAAGTTGGCCAAATTAGAGCAAGAACTAAAACATTGTGTTTTTTATTGTCTGCTACTAATTTGTGAAAGATGATTTCTTCCTTTGCACCAAAGACTAGTTGTATGGAATTTCTTGGCTGTATATATCTGAACAGTTTGCAAATCATCAGTTCTGTATTACTGGAACAGGAGATGCAACATTTGCTTGATGTAGATCAGAATAATTTCTTTCAGTTGGGTGATATATTCTCAAAGTAGAGCTTAGGTTCTGCCACCAGTACCTGATCAGTCAGAAATGGGCATCTGAAATGCATGTCAAAGCTGAAGAGATTGGGCCCTCAATATAAATAGAGTTAAAAATATAAATAAAAAAATAAGTGAAGGTGGTATTGATCCTTCAATGAGTTACAATGAGAAATGAAAAATAATTTTAATATATATCAAGAGAAGTGTGTAAGGAAATGCTATTACATAGTAACAGGTTTTCTTTCTAAAATGAAAGTGTCTAGTATCTATATTGGTTCTGGTGAGAGGAAAAAAAAATCAAGAAAAAGTACCTAATTTCATTGATAACAGAAATGGGCCATTAATAAGTAGTTTGTTTTAATCTTTTGTATCCACTGTGTGGCTTTAGGCCTGTGGAATCTTTGGTGCAGGGAGGCAAAGTACTTGGCATTTATTTAGGAGCTTATTTCAGTATCTCTTTCTGACGCAATTGTAGTATAGTCACTAAAAACAACTAAAACGAAGGTAGACCGAGGCAAAAATGTCGACTGTCTGCCAGCTTGGGGTGACGCCTGGAATTGCCTGGCGCGCGGCCTTTCGCAGTGTGTTTAGCTGGATATGTCTCCTGATGTGTTCAAAGCTTCAGTCATTTTCAGCCACAGTTCTTGGCACTTGCTACTTCTGCAAAACCTCTCATCTTTCTCAGTCTGGGAACGCTAAAAATAAGGAACTAGAGCTGTTTGGATAACTTTCAGAAGTTTGGTTTAAGTGACTTCAGCTCTGTGGTGTGCAGAGATAGGATCCGCTTCTCCAGCGTGGTGGTTGTGGGCTCTCCCCAGCAGACCTTTTCCTCCTGCAGTGCAGCATTAAAAGACCTGTGCACAGACCTGAACACCTTTCCCGGTTTGAGCCAGTCCTTTGCTGAGGAAAAGCATCTGCAAGTAATTTAACCTACTTAGAAA